TAACTGACTATTATTCCCAGGTGTGAAGAAGCACCGTGACGCGTGGCTGACATTTAAAGACAGCAAACACAACAATTACTGTGATTCAGGACAAATGTTGTCTTTCTCTGCCTGATTTTGACATTTGTGGACATGATTGTAGTTTTCACCAAACGTCCGACATCACGGCGGCGGCGGCCCGCAGAGGTCACGCTCTCCTGTCTTTCTCTCAGGTGTCGTTCTCTCATCTTTTAAACCTTCACTTCCTCCTTCACCTTGTTCTTGTCTTTTTTTATTATAATTTTTTCCTTTTATTCTGAATAACTTCCTGTTTCTGTACATTTGCGTGCGCCGTCGTATTTCCTTCACTGTGTCCTTTTCCTCACTTGTTTCCTCTCCTGTTCCCTTTTCTTCTTCCTCTCCATCCTTTCTGGCTGATTTTCTCTCATTTTAAACTTAATAAGCAGTCTCGTCTCCATCCCACGCGCCGCTTCATTCCCTCCTCAGCTGTGACTTTCTTCTTCTTGACTTCTGCCGGCTTCGCTGTGCGTTCACTCAGAGGGAGGTGTCTCAGTAATTTGTGTAAGAGAGGGTTAAATGTTCTCTGGTGCTGCACAGAGAGGATGATGTGTTTTTAGCTGTGCATGTTTTCAAAGAATCCCATCAGGAGAAAGTGAAGATTAGGTTACACCTGTACAATGCAACCAGGGTGAGATCATCTTAATCTATATTTCAGTCAGGCTCAGGTCGATGCAGTGAATATAAGCGGGAGTCAAGACTTAATAAGCACCCACAGGGTTTTACTGGGCAAACTGGGCTCAGCAGGCAGAGGAGCGACATACAGTTCATCATCAGGCTCCAGGTGGACGTCCATGCTCGCTTTCTGTGACCTCTGGGCACAAACTACTCGTGCAGACATGAATAAAGTGCAACAGGAACAACTCTGAGGATCAGAGAGCGACTGAGGAAAGCACAGCTGAACGTAGGTGCTACATGTTAGGGAAGAAAGCCACAAATAAGCACAAGCCTCGCTGCAGGTCGCTGCAGGTCGCTGCAGGTCGCTTCAGGTCGCTGCAGGTCGCTGCAGGTCGCTGCAGGTGTGTGCTGTGACACTGATGTGTGATCCAGTGACACATGGAGACGTGCTGCAGCTTCATGTAACAGAGCTGTCACAGATGATGTGAGGGTGAAGCTTTCTCATAAATGTAACACTCTAACCACATGCAAGAGGCAGAAGCCATAAGATGTAACAACAACTTTATTAATGGATTCATTTATTGTCTGATCCATAAATTTTGATGTTCTTTCCCATCACAGAGGGATGAGATCTTCACGTGATCGTTCACCAACAGAACAAAACATCCAGAGTGAAAATTCTGTAAATGTAGATCTTTGTCACACACAGTAAATATTAACATCTATATTCTTCATCGCCCTGCAGATGTTACGTTCTTCTTCTACGTTTGTTTCACGCGTCACGTTCGACAGATGTTATGTAACAGTCAACGAAAAACTGATCGCGTGTTTTCATCCTGCCCGTGTCTCGCCTTCAGGTGTCCAACCTCTACCTGTACGACAGCGTGCTGATGCTTGCCAACGCATTCTACAGGAAGCTGGAGGACAGGAAGTGGCACAGCATGGCCAGCCTGAACTGCATCAAGAAGACCACCAAGCCCTGGAACGGCGGCTGGTCCATGATGGAGACCATCCAGAAGGTAAAACACCTTCAGAGTAAGAGCAGACCAAAACATGCCCCTGATATCAAACTCGTTACGCTGGAAGAGTTGAACTCTGAATCGAGTACTCGCCTTTTCCTTTAATTACAAAAACTGTGCAAAGTTTTATTTCAGCGTCTGTACAGCCTCTTATTCAGTTTGGTTCCAAATAGTGAAGTTTTCTCAAAACTGTTATTTATTTAAAGAAAGTCGAGGCGAGCATTTGATTTGTACAATTTTCAAAATAAAAGAATCAACAGCTCCTTTGTTAACAGAAAATCAATCGCACATCAAAGATGCAGCGAGATTGCAACCTGGAGTCAGTTCTCACAGTCTAATTGGAGAAAGATGCTCTTTGGCTGACGAGTCCCTCCAGCACGCGTGGTTGTGTTTTATTAAAAAACACGAGTCTGCTTTTCTGACACGCGTCAGAGTAACGACCGCCGAGCTCATTAGCGCTGCTTTTCTACAGATTCCTGTAGAAAAGTCATAATGCATCGTGTTTTTGAATGATATTGACAGAAATATCCACCAAAGCATTATTACTCCTGCAGTTATCTTTATATGCGGACGAGCCAGACAGAGCACGCGGTCGCTTAAAAATCTCATTTCATACCAAAAAGCTGCCGAAAACATCAGTTCCTCCGATGAGGAGCAGCCTCGCCTCCGAGCTGATGAGGCTGTGACTCCTGCACTGGACCAGCATCGCTCGGAGGTCAAGGTTGCTGCATTTAACGTTTCACAAACTGCACTGACTCCTGCAGGATCAAGTTTAATGAATCTGAATGTGTGAGTTGTACAATCCTCAAACTGCCACAGCCATTATTCCAGCTGATTAGCGATGGAAACATTTATTCAGTCTTGTTCCATCTCAAACGCGCCCTTCCTGACGTTCCCCGTCCAACCTCGGCGCTCCTGTTTCGTGCTCCAGGCACTCATTTGTCAGTTTGATTGTTATGGACGCACTTTTGCTGCGTCTCACCTCAGAGTTGGTCATTACCCCCGGACGAGTCCGGGCTACTTTGCTGATGAAATGGACGATAACTTAAAGACAGGACGACATTCGCTGAGTGAAAAATGGCAGAAGCCGAGAACTTTTTATGTTCCGCGTATCCGAAGACGTGAAAACCGACCTTCCTTCCTCTGACAGGTGTGTGTATCAAATGCGTTTACTCATTTTTGAAAGAGCCAAACATTTTCAAACATTAATTTCCTCCAGGTGGCGACGAGCGCGACCTTTGCTGCTGACAGAGGAGCATTTAGTTTGCCGGCCTGCTGTGATGACCGTCTTCCGTCATGCTTTACATCCAACATGAACTGATGGAAGTCGTGAAGTGACATTTCATCCGTGGCCTTTCGTGGCAGCGGCACAGCAGTCATGGCTGAACTCATTCAGTCAGACGCTGATGATATTCTATATGGCGCCTCATCGTTCTGCAGAGCAGCCAGAACTGATAAAGCAACTGATAAAGATGGTCATTAAATATTTAGCTCTATATTTATTGGCTCCCGCTGCACCCTGGGATTTCTGGCATTCAGTGCGTCGGTGTTAAAGATGCAGGAAGCAGCAGGTGTTT